CCCCAAAACCCCAAAACCCCAAAACCCCAAAACCCCTTTGATGAAGAGTAAATAGAAGAATTTGTAAAATTAATTAATAATAAATTTAAAAGAAGCATGTCTGTGCGAGCGATCTATCATGAAGAAAAGCATATAGGAGAGAAAATTAAGAAGACTAAGACTCAATTCATCTTTAAATTCGAACTGGATGGACTCCAACATCAGATAGAGTTCCTAGTTTCTAAACTTACTGGAAAGAAATAAAGTAATTCAGGATGGAGAAGTAATCTTAGAGCAGCAGAAGTTAGCTAAGAATTTCCAATTCCCTTTTAACATTGGCAAACACATGCTTAATTTAAGCTATGGGTTAAAAGGAGCAAAGTTGAGAATCGATAATGTTGCTTTTGAAGACCTATACCAGTCAAGAGGGTTTAAAGCCACCAGCATGCCTTCCGGGCATAAAAGACCAGAAGGAGGCAGACCAAAAGCAAGCACTACTTATGCTGGTAAAAAGAATATTACTGATGGTTGGTCTGATATCCAAAGAGCAAAGGATTCAGTCAAATATGATGACATTCCAGATCCATATGCGCAGGATAAAAAGTAAGAAGGAATAAAGCATCCTAAATTCAGTATCTTTGAAAATCTTCCTATTGGATAGTTAAGAGAAGTTTCAAATTCCCCAATTAATTTCTAGAAATATTTTCAGCTACCTTAATTTTGTTTGAAAAATTGAGACTAGAAGTAATAGAGAATAATACTGATTTAAAACATTGCTGATACAGAAGAGCCAGCAGTCCTCCAAATAGTTGCTTAATTTATTTCGTTCATGTCCTAAGCTTAAAATAATTCCCATTGTTGAGTGGGTACAACAGATAGAGAAGAAGTATATAAAGAGACCAACATTTCATTGTATATTTAGAGGAGAGAAGGAAGCAGGAAAGTTTAAAGAAGAAAATAAACAGAAACAAAAAACTAGCCTGAGAGATATTGGAAAAAGGCAAAAATCATCAACTGTCAAGGAGAAGAAAAGTACTGGATTTGGAGATGAGGATGAATTTGATTGGGGTGACGGAGATAGTGTAAGTGATCAGTAGAATTGTATTGATTTTTTCTAGAAGAAACAAAGCTCAAATAATGATGCCTTTGACTTTGATTTTGGAACATCCTCTACATCTGATCAAAACAAGAAATCGGATGCATTCGATTTTGATTCTTTCGGGCAAGAATTAAGCAAACCAACTTCTTCAACAGATCCATTTGCAGACATGGAACAGCCAAAGGCTTCTGGAAGTACAGGCCTTGAGGATGTTATTTTTGATAATGAACTTACTAAACCACAGAACCCTCCTTCCAAACAACAAGAAACTGACATCTTCAGTACCGACTTCACCTCCCCTACACCACCCCCATCAAACCCATTCGCTGCCTTCACCACCCCTCCAGTCCCTCAACCCCCTCGACCCCAGCAGGACCCTTTCAGCCACCCCACTTCCACCCTCCCTCCTCCAGCTGGCCCTACCACTTTTGGAGGACCTCCTTCCCAATCCTCTTGGAGTGCAGGCTTCAGTAATGGCAACTTCTCAAACGATCCATTCTCAGAACCAGGAGCCTTTGAATCCAAGCTGACTTGTGACCCAAACAAAGATTTTGCTTCTCTGAATCCTTTCGGAGGGAATGGGTTTTCAAAATAAGTAAAAGCGAGCAGAAATGATAGCAAAAACTGAAATATTAAATTTGTGTTAGTTTATTAAAATCCTGTTATAGCAACAGCACTGTTATAAACTGGGCCATAATTACATTTTCAGTCTTTATCAGAATATATTCAATTATTTAATAAGAATAAGGGGTTTTGGGGTTTTGGGGTTTTGGGGTTTTGGGGTTTTGGGG